AACCAGAACACAGCTAAATGTATCAAAAGTATGTCTATGTAATATTAGAATTTTCTGAGACAATGAATTTTGGTTTTTCATTTTTTTCCTAGTAAGAGGTTTTTGTTTAATAGAATTTTTGGACAAAAAAATCGCAATATATCGCCTTGCTTACTGTATCGCAATATATCGGGATATATCGTATCGTGACCCCTCTATCATGAAATGAATCGTATCGCCACAATCTTGCCAATACACAGCCCTAATATCTGCCCAGTTTTACTTATCGGACGGATACAATATTCTATAAACATTACCGGTATCAACCGATACTAATATATCGTGCATCCCTAATTTAGTTACATTCAAAAATGTAACACTCTACAAATGACAATGTTTCAGGAACTCATCATGAAAGGAGCTATTTATGCACTTTAAAATTTTAATTTTAAAGATAATCCACATAACCAAGTTATTTCATCTGGTTCCACTGAAACCAAGTTGAGTAATTTACACATTTCTTTACATTTACTCATTTCTTAGCATGTGTGTAAAAGTACTTTTACTTTCCCAATTATTGTGAGCAGTTTCATTACTTTTACTTAAATACTTACCAGTGAAATTCACTTTTACCAAAGTAATTTTCTGTTAAGATATTTTACTTGGTTATTTATTTCCAGTACTTCATACACTGCTGAGAACCAGCCTGGTTCTGCTGCAGGGTTCTTCCTGTTAAAGGGGAGTTTTTCCTCTCGACTGTTGCCATTGCACAACCCAACTGTTCTGTCATTATGTTTAGAACATTCTTCCATGCACTAACCTCATTATAAATTAGTATTTTTCTTGCATGTAAGTTTTATTTTTTTGAGGACTCTAAATATTGTACAGCCTTTTTTTTAATCATAAAATAAACTCATCTTGAAAAAATWGTACAACTGAAGTTAAAAGTAGAAATTTGGTTCTGCTCGGGAGTTGCACTGACCGTCAGAAGCGAGACGTTTTTGTGATATCCTTTATCGTCCTCCTGAGTGGGTGGGACTCTAAAATCATTAGATCCATTAAAGCAGCTYGATAACATCTGTTGTCTCTTTTCCAAAGAAATGTCTTCTTCAATCTCTGTACCAGCAGGTAACGGTGGAGGTCAAGCAGTAAGAAATTAAGTTGTCTTAACTCCCTCAAAGACATTGTAACCTACACAAACACACTTCCTTAAATTTCTACCTACAATGGGGAGATAAGTATTTGATACACTGTTGATTTTTCAGGTTTTCCCACTTGCAAAGCTTGTAGATGACTGTAATTTTTTATCATAGGTACTCTTCAACTGTGAGTGATGGAATCTAAAACAAAAATCCAGAAAAATACAATGTATGATTTTTAAAT